TTAAAGTTTGTGATGTAAGTTACACCGGCTTTTGGTAGAGCTGACATCATATCTAAAACCCAGGAAAGTCATTTTTACACATGCAGGAACTTGGGCCTGAACAGATAACCTGAGTGCCATTTTGAAGGCACTGCCTGACCCTACGGGTGTCATACACACCTGCCATCTATGAGCACCATACCGCACCCATAGGGGTGGCCTCTGGAGAAGCTTTGAAGGTAGACATGGTAGCTCCTCTACCCCCAACTCCCTCCCACGTCCCCCTAACACTCTCCTGGCCCGTAGCAGCATCAGCCCCTGGTTTTGAACACAAAGGACATTTGTTGCATGCAATCACTGTATAAGGCTGGCCTCTTTCTATTATGAATAATCATGAAATTGGGGGTGAAGGAGAAAGGCAGCTCCACATCTGAAGCTACAAAAAGGCCGTGATTCATTTTTAGTCTCTTTATTCAGCAGCCTGGTCTCAGATCATTTGCAGCAAAGTTTTACCCTAGAGCAAGTTTCCTCAGTCATGTTAAATTCATGGGGGAAATCCTCCTAGGATTTAGAATGAAAAACAGACAGCTTTAATAACTGAAACGCTGGTGTAAAGAGCGGGGAAAGGGAGTATGTTCTAACCATTTAGGGAAAAAATGGATAAGATGTTACTAATAAGCTCTGCTATGTTTTCATCCTGCCGTTTTCTTCATCTGAAGGAATACTGAGATGAGCTTTTAAATTCTGGATGATTATCTGACAGCTTCCATCTTTAGGGCAAATTATCAGCAAGGGTTTTATATCACTATTACCTTGACTCAAAACTCAGAGGACACACGCTTACCGGAGCCCAGACGAGGAAATAAAATCTACAGAAAAGAGTGCTGTGAACAGAACTGCGGAATCCAGCTACTTCTAGGTTCCCTTACGTGACATTTGTGGATACTGTCCTTTTTATCGAGTCGGGCTGGGGTCCTACCTCCTGGATGTGGTCCCAACCTAACTTCCCGGCTTCGTCTCTCACCATTCTCCCGCCAACAACCCATCCAACCACACACCCTGTATTCCAGTTATGCCTAACTGCCCACTGGTCCCAAATGTGTCACATGTTTGAACACTTTCCTTCTGCCTACATTTCCTATCTGGGTGAGGTTTAACTCATTGTTAAGACTCATCTCCAACATGACTTTCTCCCAGAAATCTTTCCAATGTAAGCAAAGTTAGTGGCATCTTATTCTGTTCCTCCACAGTACCTAGGACCTGCTTCACTGTGGAGTTCAGTAGACTGGAATTATTAGTTTACAATGCCAGTTCCCCTTGGTGATCCTGAAAGGGCAAGGACTTTACCTGGGATATCTGAACCCTCTGGTCCAGGGTTTCTCAAGAGCAGCAGTATTGACATTTTGGGCCAGAAAATTCCGTGGTATCGGGGGCTGTCCTGTGCATTATAGGATGCAATCATCCCTGGCCTCCACCACTAAATGCCAGTAGCAACCCATCCTCATGTGATGATTAAAAATTGTCTCCAGACATTGCCCAGTGCCTCCTGGGGGAGAAAATGACCCCAGGTGAGAACCACAGTTCTAGCCCTAACAGAGAGCCTGATATATACCAGGTGCTTAATACATATTTGCTGAGGTTAATAAATCAATGTCCAAATTAACGAACAAAAACCGAGGGAACCAACAGATGAAGAAAGATCTTACTGTATCTCTCACACCCTCATCAAATCAAACCTAAGATCTTTCTCTTCACGGATTGGCTCTACTCTCTTCCTATCTTTTCTGTCACATCCTTGGTCCCTCACCTGCATGTGTCACATTCTGATGCTTTGTTTTCCCTCCCACCAACCCAAATTCTGTACTGATTGCAAGACAAAGAACAACTTAGCCACTTCAAAAAGCCTTCCCCAATGCACCCAATCCAGTGACCTCCCTACTTCACTTTCTCTAAGTATTTATGAACAGGGTCTATAGTGAACAATTACCAGCAATATATACACATATGTGCATATATGTATACACATACGTGTACATGCGTATGTCTATACATACATGTATACACAGTATTTTGGTCTTAGAACTATTATCTTTTTGGTTCACATATGCGTATAGGAATTTTCTTCTTACCTGGAAGAATCACCCTTTGATAGACGCCTTACTTATGCCTTTGAGTTTTTTTCCTCTTAGCTTTAGCACAAGTTTATGAACAACAGATGTTTAGCTTTTGCTTGAAGTGAATTTTTTTTCTGTATGCATCTGGCAGGTGTGTTAAATCTGTGTAATTGGTGGGGTCTTGACATAGTTTTGTTTTTAAAAGGCATAGGGCTAACTCTAACATCTTGCAGATTTTAAACAAACTCATTTCAAAGAGATTCTGCAAATACGAAAAAAGTGATTTGCAGTGTTCTAGGATTTCTGTGAGAAGGAACTGAATATGATAAGTAGTGAGAAAGACCAAAATGGCTGCATTTTGTCTTGAATTCGGACTGTGCTTGAACTCTGTCTAGGCTTTTTTTCCCCCCATTTCTTGGTAAAACTTTTAAAAACACTGACCTTCCTGGTTTATTACGAGTCCTCTCAACACCCAAGCATCCTCTGCCACTGCTTACTTGCAGTGACTTGTCCACATACTTTCCCCCACACTTGTTTAGAAATTTGCTCAAACTTCCATTCTATGGGGCAATCCTTTCTCACATTTTACTTGGAACAGTTTCTGCTTTGCCCAAAAGCAGTCACTCTATGGGGCTCCTGATCCTCAGGGCTCAATGGCAGAGTTAAGGGGCCAACCCCAGAATTTTCGTGCATTGCACCTGAGCTCCACATGTGTGACAGGGTAAGTACAGGGTGGACGTATGGGAATGGGGTAGGGTGGGGGAAAACATCTCTAGCTGCACCACTAATTTTTGTAACTCTTAAGAAAAAGACCTCTCGGTGGCCCCCTCCTCTATGCCTACCCACGTCTTCCTGTTTAAAATACAAAATCAAAATGCTTCTCTTGACCCAGCCTGCTCCTACGGTCCCATTGTGACTTACTCCACCTCACTCACCACCAGTGCATGTTGACCCCCATTTATCGTTCCTACGGACGACTTCTTGTATTGTCATGTCTTCAAATACCAGTTAAATGTAACAGCCACCAAATGCTTCTCTTTACTTTTTCCATCCTCTGGAAGTTCCAACCCAAGTTTTCAATTGACCCCAGGTTTGCCAGTCACCAAGCATCTCAAATGCAGCCTGTTCAAAATCAAATTAAATTCCCTTTCTGCTCCTATGGCCCACTCCCCTCTATTTGTCCCTCTATTAAAGACTACCTGTTCCAAACTAGAGGCAGGATTTGTCTATGACTTGTCTGTCTTACTCAATACTGATCATACTTCTGAAGTCTCCTGATCTGTCTCATTTTCATGTCGATAGATGTTCCCTGCCTCCGTTCTCTTCCCACTCTTGTGTATCCTCTCCTCTGTGGTAGGAATTCCCTGTGTAAGAATCAGAGCTGCCACTCTCCCATCCCTGAAGTTCCTGGTTCTAAAGGCAGTGGAGAACCACATCCAAATCAAACCTGGAATTCAAGGTCACCCATTACCGTAACTCTAACCACGTTCCCTTCACAGCTTTATTTCTTCATTTCATTGACAGCCCCACCAAACTGCATTCTAACCCTGTATGCGCCACCTGGTAAGATCCACCTAGAATGTTAAGGCTTAGCTCAAAGGGCCTTTGAGAAGCACCCTTGCCCTTGGCCCCTATGGAGAATTAACTATTACTTTCTGGGTCTTCAGAGCACTTTACTTATAGTTCAATTAAGTCATCTTGTAAAATAGTAGTTTTCATGTTAGTCACTGAGCTTCAGGGGTCCACAGGATGAACAATATCTTACCTGTTTGTTGACCTGTCATCCATACACTCATCCTTCCATCCATTATTCTGGCCAGCATTTAGAGACTACCACACTTAAGATCTTCTCCAGTGCTAATATTTTATGATTTTGAACATCATTTAACTTCAATATACAGAGAAACTAGTGTAAATTAGAGGTTAAGTACATGACACAGGCATCCTGTGCCATTCATGTCTTGATCATGATTAAATTTCCACTGCTCAGTAATAACTTAGCAGGTACTCAATTAACGTGTTAAATGAACAAATGAATTAATTCCTAGAAATTGATCGGAGATTGGCTTACATATAAGAATAGTAGAAAGCAAATATTGTCTCTCAATTTTTAAAAAATTATTTACTGGGGGGAGGGTACAGCTCAAATGGTAGAGCGTGTGCTTAACATGTACAAGGTTCTGGGTTCAATCCCGAGTACCTCCTCTCAAAAATAAATAAACCTAATTTCCTCCCCCTACCCATAATAAAGTAAAAAATATTTTTTTAATTAAAAAAAATTTTTAAAAATTATTTACTTGAAATAACTGCACTTGTACCAAACTGAACTTTTGCAGCAGCTGAAATTACTCAATGGCTACAGACAGTTCTGAGTTACATGTATTATGTGCACCGTTCTTTACAGAGTATTTCCTGAGCAACACAAATGAGCACACACAGGCACACTTAGAGTAGCGAGGTCCTAGAAGTAGCAGGCTGGCCATCCTACAGAATGCAGCCCTGGCATGTATAGCCTGAGGCCACCACTGCAGGGACCAGACCGGCACTCACCTGTCCTGACCAGGAGACGCACTAGCGGCATCATCTGAGTTTAAATTTTTAACTTCCAACTTCGCCATTCCCTTCCTTCTCCAATACCTTCCAGTTCTTTTCCCAACTTTTACTTTTCGTCTGCTTGTGTACATTACCCCATTTTCACCTACATTCCAATCCTATAAACCAGAAAACATAGATGAGTGAATCACGGGGTAAACATTCTCCTCCATTAGAGCCAATACCCTAAACACTTTCACATTTTTCGCACACGACCACATTAGACACCAACCATGATGTTATCAATGCTTTTTTCTTCTAGATGAATAAAAACTGGCTTAAGGGAAAATAACTGTGACGATACAAACACCCATGTTTGCTTTAAAGTCTTTATTATCCTGAATATAAAAGACAGAAGTCCTCTAGGATATAACAGAGTTCTTTATGTGGAAACATTACTTTTTACAAGTGAAAAAATAAATACCTCTTGGAATAAAGGCTTATATGTTAATATGTGCCATAAAAAAGTAGAGTTTTAATATCTGACAAAATGTCTGTGCAAAGAAACAAATGCATAAACACATTACTGCTACATTAAGGCAATATGAAAAGTATACTCAGAATTCTCAGTAAAGTGACAGTGTAGGTTTCTAGCTTTAACTTAGCTAGTATTGCACCCAGTAAGGTCATCTAGGTTTCCTGACATCCTAGAAAACCCACAAGCTGACCAGCGTCCAAAATGCCCAAGTGGGAATAGAAAACATGATTAAGAATACAGAAACAAAAAACCCCCAAACCCCTCTTAAACAGAGGGACAACAAAAAGTTAATACTTAAGCATTTACTACAAAAAAAGAAAAAAAAAAGCACACAATGCTAGGATATCTATGATAAGGCTGTAAAAGGCTGGATGGCTCAAGCAAAAGCGACCCCACTGGGTGAAGCTGGAGCAGGGTGCGTGGGAGGGCTAGGAACCGCCCCGAGCGTGGACACCACCTAGCTTCATCTCAGCGAGCTATGCCCTCCCTTCCCAAGGAACATGCCCTCCCCTTCCAATCTCAAAATAAAATGTTCCACCAACTCAAGAGGCCCAAGGAGTGCTGGCGACTCCACAGAAATCATCTAACCAAACTGGAAGCGCTTTATAATTGAAGGGAGGTGGCTGGGGGCAGAGAGGAGAAGGAACAGGAAACCATCCACGTGGAGTGATCTGTTTTCCACTAGCCAGACTGGTTTAAATCCGACAACTTTGTTGTCCACTTTAAAAAAAGTCCCAGAATTGATTTTGAGATCTGTCTGCCTCCCAATCATTCTCGAACAAGTTAGAAAAACAGAAGTGACATTAAAACGACGACTACCTCTTTAAGAAAAATTTTCCTATGAAAAATGTCCGGAGCTCCGGGACCCGTACAAAGAGAACCAAGTAAATCCTTAGAATGAATTCTTACAAAATTGGCTGCAGGTAGGAAACTTACCTTGGGATACATTAAGGAGATGTAACAGCATCATTTTCTAAAAGGTACCCACTTTTTGTCTAAACTGTCACTTAACTAATGTCAACAATTTTCCAGATTCCTTTACTTGATCATAAAAAGAAGGAAAGTCCAAGGAATGTGTCTGGGTCCCAGAGCTCTTCCTGGTCACCACCCCAGAGGTGCTGATTCCACGCATGGTATGTTCTGGCGGTGAGGAATAGTTGTATTCTTTCTATTCTTCCTTTTTTTAAAAAAAAAACGTTGCATGGCAGATGAGTGTTGGAGTATTCATTCTCTCCACAATCTATTATTTTTATAGTTTGTAATAGTGCGGTCCGGTAAGTGCACAACAGGTCAGATGACGGTCAGGTTGAGCAGACTGGTGTGGGTGGGAAGGTAGACGTGCTGCACGTGGTCCACTCGTGACCGACAGACGGGACACGACTGCAAAAGAGAAGCCGACAGCCTGGGTTAGTACACCTATGAGGATGCGTGTCTTCAGTGTTCACTCATGGGACCTATTATATTGTGTTTTCTGAGTTAAGTTGTGATCACAATTATTTCTAGCTTTCCATTGGGAGAGCTCTTTGCTTTCCAACCAGTTTGGAAATTTGTACTTGACAAGGGATTAAAAAGAAAGATTACGAAAAAAGTATACACTGAAGGAAATGAATTAGGTTTTCAGTCAAACTCGAAATCGAGCACAATGAGCAAAGTGATTAGGAATGACTTCTTGCTGGGCAGGGAGGCTGTGGTCCCTACGTGGGCTGATGAAGCCTCGGGCAGGGGTGCAGGAGACCGTTTCAGAGGCCGTGTGTCCTGGGCTCAGCTGACTCAGGCTGGTGTCACCAGGGCGATGCCATGTGGCCAGTGAGCATGGCTCTGCTCCTAGTCACAGGTCACAGCCCCACATCCCCAGCTGGCTTCTCAGCAAGCACATTCCTTCCTCAGCCGTAAGAGGAAAAAAAATGCCTTGGGCATGAGGGTCAGACTGTGCGGGTAGAAAAAGGCAAATTCAGGACCACCCCTTGGGAAATAACTCGTAGGGAAGGACACAGGCATCCTGTTGGCCCATATGCGGCCCTAAAAAATAATTCTGAAATTAGCAACTTCTGAAGGACTAGAAGTTATTTAGGGCTAATTTTATATAAAACCACAGTGACATTTAGCCAACAGTTCTGGGAAATGAAAACGAATTGAAAAAAATTATTGTAGAGGAAATGCAGGGTGTAAGAAAGAAAAAGATACTAGGGAAGAAGTGCTTTTGTTTTATTTTTTATACTAATACTAAAATTAGTTTGACTTACTAAGTGACAGCCAAGGCGCCCCGAGAGGCACAGGCAGTAAAAAACAAAACAAAACAAAACAAAAAAACAAAATGAATCACAAATAATCATAGTCAACAACCCACCCGTGGATAACTGAGCGTTAACTGTCACCCCAAACCCTAAGTTTTTTTTTCCCAAATAATGCAAGTAAGTCATAAAGACCATCCTCTGAGTGTCAGGGAGTGGAAGCAACATGAAACAGAAGAGGAAGCCCTGACCAGCCCTCGGGAGGCTTGGATTCCGGTCCGTGGCTCAGCCACTGATTAGACATATTACCTTATGAATCTGAGTCTCGTTTCCAGGACTTAAAAAACTCTGTGATTTAGAGCAATTCTGTTGTTGAAAAGAGTGTTGTCCAAACTGTTTCCAAAGGGACCCCCTCGGTCACCAAACACAAAGCCCCTCCTCGGGTGGAGGCGGCCCCGCCCTGCCTGCGCCCCACCCCCTCCCCCGCGGCCGCCCCTCACCTGGAGCTGCGCGGCGCAGCCCTCGCAGCACACCGTGTGGCCGCAGGGGCAGAAGGCCGAGTCGATCTCGCCCTCGCAGCACAGCATGCACAGCATGGCCTCCTTCAGCTTGCGCAGCTTCTCCTGTAGCGCCCGGGTCTGCTGGCAGCTGAGGCCCTCGCAGCTGCTGCAGTTCACGCCGCTCTCCGGCGACTTCAGGGGGGAGCTCGGGGGGCTGTGGTCGCTCCTGGGCGCGAGGTCCAGCACGCCCGCGTTGTACAGAGCCCTCCTGGCGTGGTCGTACACCTCCTTGGACGTTCTTTTAATATCGAAGACGTACTTCTTGCCCAGGTTGATGTTTTCGTTCAGAAACAGAGAAGCCAAGTGGCCCTTCAGGTCCCGGCTGTACTGCATCATGACGGCGCTGGTCACCGTGTCGCACCTGCGGGCGGGGATGGAACACCCACCTCAGCACTGAGAGCCCGGGCTCCCCGCCGCCCACACCGCAAAGGCTGCTGGGGACAAGAGCCTTTGTGTCGGCAGATGTTTCACACTCTGGTCTGGGTGCTTGAAAGTAAACTCTTTCAGTTCCATATGTGTTAAGTATTTGAATGATTCTACCTCCGTGCTTCTCAAGTGTCCCCAAAGGAAGGCCCTCTGATAAGACAGCCATAAGCCCCAGAGGACAGTGACTGTGCACCTCCACTTCCAGGGACTAGAGAAGCTACAGTCCAAAGCAGCTTATGGCAAGAAAAAAGACTTTTTTCTTTGAAGTCTTGGCTTTATGATAAAAATTTCTACGAAATTTCCACTCTGCTCCAGAATGTGTGTCTATTTTAACATTAAAAAAAAAGGTTCAGCCAATTAAATTTCTTAGCTTTACTTTTCCAAATATAAGAATCAAATCAGAATGCTAAAGCACCCTTGGAAATGCACGGATCAATATGGTTATCGAGAGAGCTTTACTACATACTGAGGACTCAGGACAGCAGCTCTCCCAGGAAGGAGAGCCAACCTTGGACATCCTGCAGAGAAAAGGCCAACAGGGCAGCAGAACAGGCCCGACCAGTTACCTCGGGGAGGAGGAGTTAACAGACAAGCAGTGAAACGTGTGTGTGCAGCCCACACCCACAGACATGGCCTGCGGGCAGAGCAGGACGATGTTGACAAGGACCCTGCTGCTACCGCAGAAACCAACAGTCTGAAAACAGCTGATTTCTTCAATTCTGTGCAAGGTTCATGGACACAAAAATACCAGCAACTATAGCAGCCTCGTGGCCACCTGGAAATCTCAGAGCTGAGGCAGATGCTGGGGCTCTGGGTGAACAGGGTACGTGCCTGTAAAAAGCATGCGTCTCGGTGATGGCTCTGTAGAGCCCGCTGGCCGCCCGGGTGCTGATCATCTTAAACAAGAGCACAATGCTGTTCCCAGACTCCTTGGTGACGGTCAGGTACACATTCTTCCCTGACTGGGTGGCCATCTGCACCACGGGGTAAGCGATCCTGAAAGACATGAAGAGAAAAGTGAGTGAGCCAGGAGAGCTGTGTCACTCCCATCGTGTGTGCGCCTCTGCAGGGCCCTCATGTGCTCCCCACCTGGCCGTAAAATCAGATGCTCAGCCTGGGTCTGCCATACAGTCACTCTGCTCCCTAGTTATAACGGCTCCTTTAAAAGCAGCTGTGGGTAAGTGGAGAAAAGCACTGGAGTGAGTTTTAGGGTGGGGTGGGGTGTGTAGGTGAAACAAGATTTGAATAGCAGTGAATGACTTCCTTGAAAAATGCTAATTTCTGCCACATCAGTACACTTGAACTTGTATTTTGAAAAAAATAACTGAATGGTTATCGGGCCTAAATAAAATGAATATACATACCCAAAATAAAACATGTTATTCTTATAGGATGACTGTCTAGTAAATCCCTCTCCATTTCCTATTTTCACGATCAGAGCTACAAAAGTATATACATGCTTAGGTCTAAGCAAACACTGAAGACTTACCTATTAATCGGGCTAAAGTCGTCTTTACAAATTGAGATTCCGTCAGGTCCGACCCCAATGAGGAGTTTCTGCCCTTCACTGTCCCGCACAGAATGCCATTCAATGCCATAGTTTTCCATCGCTGACACAATCTGCAAAACTTGGTATTCAGCTGAAGCCTGGCTGGTCCCCTCCAACTCCTTATGCTTTGCCACAATGCTGCAAGACACCAAAAAAGACAGAGGTACACAGAGAGATTAACTGATGCAGTCTGTACACAGAGAGATTAACTGATGCAGTCTTTAGAGATACATCTGTATCATTTCCACTAGTGAATTATACTGGCACTGTCATTTATGAATTACAAAAACATAAAGCTATATATTATTGATGTTTCATTTATTTAGCAAACTTACTGTAAAATATTTCTAAGACACTGTTCAAGTTCTTGACTATTAAATATTCAGAATGAAAACTACTGGGAATGCCAGCTGGGGATGAATGAAAAGAATTATGGAAAATCTCTAAAAAATACACAGAAGAAATTTATCTGTACAAACGTCTCATGCATTTGTCTACATCTGCTTTATAAGTTTCATTATAATACAGCATTATTTGGGACTGAGTAGATCATTTGCAACTGAAAAATGCAGGATTTATTTTATCTATGGGGCGGATAGCTTCCAATAAAGTCCTTAAAGATCTCCACCTCCTGGTATTCACACCCTTGTGTAATTTCCTTCACTTGAGTATGGGCTGGATCAATGACTTGTTTCTAAAGAGCAGAACGTAGCAGAAGTGGTGGGATGCCACTCACTTCCAAGATTACGTCATAAACAGACTTTGACTCCCCCTTGGGGCTCGCTCTTGCTCTGACTTGCATTGCTGAATTTTCTAGCTCTGTGACGATAAACCTGAGTCTGAACTGTGGACTCACCTGTTCAAAGTGGCACTGGAGAGCTCCTTGGCACACAGCTCCTCGTAGCTGTACTTGGCCGTGTTCTGGTTGTAGTCCCCAAACTTGGTCTGGGCCAGGAGGGCACTGAGTTCCACTGCCTGCTCTGGGGAGCACTGGAGGTGGCCTGCCAGGAGGGCCTCCTTGATATGCAAAAAAAAGATATGCCTGCAAAGCAACGCCAAGAATGAGGTTATGTTTGGGGACTAGCTTGGTATCAAACTCAACCTGCTTAGCAATTTCATAATTTCTTTGAAGTAAGGAAAACAGAGCAAGGAAGAAAGCTATCTTGGAAATGCTAACTGTTAAAGAAACTTTCCTACCGTGAATATGAAGGCAAAATAAGTCTAAGGATTAAGTTTCTCTGGAATAAAAAGTCTAACCCAAACAAAACAAATCTAACCTAAATTCAGTAACATTCAAGTTACAAAATGTAAAATAATTATATACACATTTCTGCATTATGCTTTTTAAAATAAATTATCTTAATCAGAAACTTGATCTTGATGTAGAACTGATATCTTAAGATCCTCACTTATATTCAAATAATCCCCAAATCTCTAGTTTTAATCCTAACTTCTCTCCTAAGGATCATAGTCAAATGTCCAAGTGTTTACAGACTTTTCTGTTTGGAAGCCCTTTAATATCCCAATTTCACCTTGTTCAAAACCAAACTGTCTTCCTTTCCAAACCCACTTTTTCTCCCAGTGTAGACCAGAGACTGATTTGTTACTCACTTTTGACTCCTCATCTTACTTCCACCTACTTTCTGTCCCTGAAAACTCTTTAAATTCAGGTGTTTCCCCCATTTTTACCTCCTCTGTCCTACTTGCAGCTCTCAACTGTCAGAGAATTTACAATATCCACTAAGCTGATCTCTCTTCCAGACTGTGCTAATCCACCTTTCAAACTGCGTGCTTCTGGTATAAACTTGCCATTTCTCTACTCAGAATCTTTCAGGGGAGCCCCACTGTCAAGGAAGAACTCTGTGAGCATGAACCCAGGGTTCTCTATGTCTAGCCCCAGATTTCCAGCCACATTTCCTGTCATTCCCTCCAGCCACTACGCCCCAGGGAAGGGACAATTTCTCTTCCTGGAAAAATGTTCACACCCCTACGTCTCTGGTCCTGCTGTTCCCTGTGTCCTGAAAGCCACTCTTTCTGTCCTTTCTTTTATTTTTTTGGGGGGGGAGGAAGGTAATTAGGTTTCTTTATCTATTGTTTTTCTTTAATAGAGGTACTGGGGATTGAACTCAGGACCTTGTTCATGCTAAGCATGCGCTCTGCCACTGAACTATCCCCCTCCCCCATCTCCTCATTTCGATATCATTTTGTTTATATCACAAGCAAACTATTTATTTCTCTATTATAGAATCTTGACGTGTTCTAACTTCTAGTACATTTAGCTGCAGGTAAAGTGACTTCCTAAGTTCTAACATCAGAGAGTTCTATAAATGTACATGAAACTACATACTGTCTGCAATTGGTTTATATTCCCACCCTAGTTTCATTCCATTTCATCCTGTCCTAACTGTACACAATGCTACATTCTACATTTCCCAAAAGGTGTATGAGACTTAGAACTCCTGGAAAACTTCAGATATTTTGCCTGCCAATCCACACTGCCTAAGATTCTGAACAGAGTATCTAAACTGCCAGACAGATTGGTCTAGGTTATGAAATTTGTCCCTGGCAAATGTAGAGGTCTAACCTTTCTCCGATGACGTGTTACAGCCTCTCCAATATGCGGAAATGCCACAGCACTCCTTTCACTAACAAATGAATTGTTACCACCATTGTAAAGCTCTGAACAGCAGTCCTAAATTCAGTTCCCCGCTTCAGCTGGATACCCTTACTCCAGTCCTCAACACTGCTTTTATTTACATGCTAGTCTTGTATCTGACGTCCAGGTCAAGGGGAAAATGTGAATAATGCAAGAGAAGAAGGCAGGAGAACGTGAGGCTAGAAATACAAGGGGCTCTGCTGAGAGTCTCAAAACTCCAGGCTGACAAGAGGCATTAATCTTCCTCTAAGAAATGTTTAAATTCAACATTCTGTGCCTTCTATAATGATAAAGAAATGTTTAAAATTATCAGACTCTGCCAAACACTGCAGTTTTTTCTTTATTCAAAGCCCCCTATGAAGAATTCACAGTGAGAATGCATAATAGCACCAAAAGAAGATAAGCATGGTTTTTATTAACCCAAACATCTGCTGGTCTTTAAAGTATTTCTGACATACTGCTAAACTGAGAAGGGGGCCCTACTGGGGCAAAGAAATAACTACACAAATAACTTGTTTTAAAATAGCTATCTGAGTACTCAGGTCTAGCAGTCCCATAAAATCTCGATATTATGACACTCTTTCAGCCTTCAGGCTTTTTAGATGACTTTTCGGTAAACTTCATCTTGGTTAATGTACCTTCATCTCTGCATTCATCAGAGGTCATGTCAGTAGGGAACAAAAATCTAAGTATATGCTGACATTAAAGAAGAAAGTATATGCCAGTTCAGAGTATCACCTGAACTATGTCTTCCCAACTGAATCACTGCCTATGTGAAAGAATCTTTTAACTGATTTCCCAAGCATCAGTTTAGAGACTAGCAGAGCCTGCAAATGAAGGGTTTCAAAATAGACCCAATTTCTTTTTCCAAACTGTCCACGCCCACTTCTGGACAGACAGCTTCGAAAATCAAAGGCAAAGAAGTAGTAACAAGATATTAACAGGTGGTCAGCAGCTTGAGAGCAATGCTGATCCTGTGTGAGTCAGAATTTTAAAAGGGGTGGGTGGGTCGGGGTAGGAGGGGGACAACAGCCTTTTCTACGTACTCCACATTCTAGGCTGCACTGTAATTGATACCCTTAAGTAGAAAAATGCTCCTCCTTATGGTTTACATAAACTTTCTGGTAGGCCCCTTCCTGCATTTTGCCGTTTCATGGCTATAAAGCAACCTTTTCGTTTCAAGTCAACAAATTGGTCCGTGCATTGCCTCTGGGCCGAGCCCTGCACTGGGGGATTCCAGGGTGAATATATCTGATAGTTCCTTTTTCCATGGAACTTACAGCCTTTTGGTGTGAAGGAAGATATGCTATCAAAATAACTCTGGCCACAAACTGGCTCTTGGGTGACAAGTTGATGCCCTCCAGGAGCTGGGGCGGGCCACTTAACGTGTTCTTTCCAAGAGGGAGGGTGGCAGGGCTTGGAGAAACACTTGAACAAGGAATCCAGTGACGGCTCAGTCGTCAGGGGTGGTTCTGAGTCAAGTATTTTCTCCTATTATTTTCCCTCTAACCATCAGCCTGTAACTAACTGTCCGGCTCATGGATTTCTACCCCCGCCCCCCCCAACTCCCTTTTTAAAAAGTGGGTGAAAGGTTACCAATAATATCAAAACAAGGACATGTGGTCAAAGAAATCATGCCTGCAGTGAAATGCTTTTTTTTTAAACTAAATATCAAAAGTGGTTGGCATATATAATTCAAAGTAGGCTACTTGCTAGAATCATCAACAGACAGAAAACCTTTGAAAAAAAATTATATCTTTGTCTTAAGCAAATGTCTATTAGTATGTCCTACAGACGTAAGCTCATTTTCTAAACATTTTTGTGGCTGCACCTTGAAATTCATGATTCTTCAAGTTTTACCCAGCTACTAAGAAAATGGATACTTAATACATGGATCAGGTTTGGGGGCCCAAAGTGAAACATTCTAGCTGACTCATGTTTTTGCATCATGGGTACAAACGAATTCACACTGCAGCATTAGGGAAGAGTCAAAAAAATGGAGCTAAATATGTGGATAAGTCATATTTTAATGAAAACAAAGTCACAGATTCTTAATTTGTTTTTGTTTTCGAAGTATGTACTTCAAATTTCCTGTTTTTAAAATTAATTCCTTTCCATGGTGTTAAGGAATAATGTGAGGTCATTTATCTTTCAAAAACTGTCATCAGAGCACTCTCCTCTAAATCCCGGTTTATCTCATAAAGAAATCATCTAATAATCAAAGCAGAACTTTCTGCAAACCAACCGGGAGTTCTCGATCTGCTCATTGTGGGCAGTTACTCTCAGCTACTGTCCTCCAGTTATCTTCCCAGTTACATAATTTTGAAGAACTTTTCACGACACAAATATAAAATAACCACATCCACATTCCCTATTAAACTCAAATTGTAAGTAACTAACCTAAAACACCTTTAGAATGGCTAAGTAGCTATGTTTAAAAACTCTCCAGCCCCAATAACTGAACTGAATTTTTCCCCAAGAGACCTGCCTGAACCTGGCCATCCATTGTAGCCAAGGGAGCCCCCACTGAGATCACTCACGTGTCTGCCTCAGTCCAATGAGTCATTTAACCACATCGGTTTATTTTAAACCAAGCCCAAACTGCCAAGTTATATTTAAAAACTACCAAATCAAAACAGAATTGCTGTTAAGTTTGTTTTGTATCTTAAATTCCAGTGAAACAAAAATCAGTTCAAGATGGATCACAGGCCTTATATTTTTGAAGCTAAAACCGTAATGCTTTTAGGACAAAACATGGGAAAGTAACTTTATGACTTGGAGGTAGGCGGAGGTTTCTCAGGACGTAGTCAGCAAAAACTATAAAAGAAAAAAATGGATATATGAGACTCCACCAAAATTAAAAACTTTTACTCTTCAAAAGGAATTAAAAAAAAACAGGCAAACCACAAGAAAAAAAACATATCAGGCAAAGGATTGGTATATACAAAGAATTTGTGCAGCTCAAAAATAAAGGCAACTAACTACTCAGTAAAAATGGGTAAATGACTTGAATAGATACTTCACAAAAGACATACAAGAGGCCAATAAACACAGGAAGTGCTAAACATTATTAATCAATAGAGATGTAGAAATTAAAATCACAATGTGCCACCACTACACACACCAGGCATGTGGAGGAACTGACCCCCAGTACTTTGCTGGTAGGAGTGCAGAATGGGACAACTGCTTTGGGAAAAGGTTTGGCAGTTACTTATAAGACTAAACAATTATGACCCAGCTATTCCGTGCTTATTTACTCAAGAGAAATGAAAACACATGTCTACAGAAAAGTCTTGAACTTGAATGTTCAGAGCAGCTTTTTTCATGGCAGCTGGGAAACAGGTATTCATCAACAGGAGTGTGGATAAACAGCAGGACGCTCATAC